CCTGTGCGAGAACCTGGACTCCCTGGACGAGCCCGAGGCGCGCGCAGCCATGATCTGGATCGTGGGGGAGTACGCGGAGCGCATCGACAACGCGGACGAGCTGCTCGAGAGCTTCCTGGAGGGCTTCCACGACGAGAGCACCCAGGTACGGCTGGAGCCAGCGGGTGCCGAGGGTGCCCGGCCGTGGTCCGTGGAACGCCGCCGTGGTGCTGGGCCAAGCATCTTCCCTCCTTCCTGGCTGGGAAGGGACCAAGTGGCCGCCTTTGATTCCTCAGTGCCAGGGCAGGATCAGCCCTTTGGAGCTGGGAAATGGAGGCAGAGGGGTGAAGCGAGCAGAGGGATGGAGGGAGCAGAGGGATGGAGGGAGCAGAGGGATGGAGGGAGCAGAGGGATGGAGGGAGCAGAGGGATGGAGGGAGCAGAGGGATGGAGGGAGCAGAGGGATGGAGGGAGCAGAGGGATGGAGGGAGCAGAGGGATGGAGGGAGCAGAGGGATGGAGGGAGCAGAGGGATGGAGGGAGCAGAGGGATGGAGGGAGCAGAGGGATGGAGGGAGCAGAGGGATGGAGGGAGCAGAGGGATGGAGGGAGCAGAGGGATGGAGGGAGCAGAGGGATGGAGGGAGCAGAGGGATGGAGGGAGCAGAGGGATGGAGGGAGCAGAGGGGTGAAGCGAGCAGAGGGATGGAGCGAGCAGAGGGATGGAGCGAGCAGAGGGATGGAGGGAGCAGAGGGATGGAGGGAGCAGAGGGATGGAGGGAGCAGAGGGATGGAGGGAGCAGAGGGATGGAGGGAGCAGAGGGGTGAAGCGAGCAGAGGGATGGAGCGAGCAGAGGGATGGAGCGAGCAGAGGGATGGAGCGAGCAGAGGGATGGAGCGAGCAGCTGGGGCAGCTGGGGCCGGTGGCTTTGGAATGGGGGTTTCCATCTGTGGAAACTTCCTACAGCCGATCCATGGGGAGCAGGGGCAAGTCTAAATGCACCCTGGGAAAGCAGCAGTCCTGGGGGCCCTGTGTCGGGCTAAAGGGAATCCCTGCTGTTATCCTTATACGAGTCAGAGGATGCTCTGCCCTTCCCCCATGTGGGACCCTGTATCCTGGTCCCAGGGTCCTGCCCAGTGACCTCTGTGTGAGGCTGTGGCTGGGATGGGCTGATGCCGAGCAGCTTGGCTGGGGCTGCAGGGCTGGCTGGGGGCCGTGCCGAGCATCCTGACCCTTGTCACCAGCACTGTCCCCGTGTGGTTGGGGTTAGGTCCCAGCAGCACCTCTGGGGCGGCCCCCGTGCTCCTGCAGAGGAGGGGTGGGATGTGTGTGTGTGTGTGTGCTCACCTGCCCGTGCTCCCGCAGGTGCAGCTGCAGCTGCTCACAGCCATCGTGAAGCTGTTCCTCAAGAAGCCCACCGAGACCCAGGAGCTGGTGCAGCAGGTTCTGAGCCTGGCCACGCAGGTGGGTGACGGCTCCGGAGCGAGGGGAGAGCTTCCCTTGGCTTTGCCATCCCCAGCGAGGCAGCGGGAATGGTGCCGTGGACAGGAGGGGGGTAACCAGGAGAAGCTGAGGGTTGAAGTCCTGCAGCGAGGACGGCATCGCCTGCAGCACTGGAGGCAGCTTGTGCTGTTCCCCTGCTGAAGCTGGGGGAGCAAAGCAGTGCGGCCCCTCCACAGGGACATCAGCGGCTTCAGCTTTTATCCCCATGATCCCACTTATAGAATCCCAGGATCCCAGCCGGGTTTGGGTTGAAGGGACCTTAAAGCTCATCCAGTCCCAACCCCTGCCGTGGGCAGGAACACCTCACACTAGACCATGGTGCCCAGGGCCCCCTGCAACCTGGCCTTGAAACACCACAGCAAGGCTCAGCTAGGGGCAGGATGCTCTGGGTTGCTCTGTGGTGGCTGCAGTTCCTCCTGCCCTGCTGGCCTCGGCACTAACCCTGGTGCTCCCCAAAGGACTCGGACAACCCCGACCTGCGGGACCGCGGTTACATCTACTGGCGCCTGCTGTCCACGGACCCCGTGGCTGCCAAGGAGGTGGTGCTGGCCGAGAAGCCCCTCATCTCCGAGGAGACCGACCTCATCGAGCCCACGCTGCTGGACGAGCTCATCTGCTACATCGGGACCTTGGCCTCCGTGTACCACAAACCCCCCAGCGCCTTCGTGGAGGGCAGCAGAGGGGTCGTGCACAAGAGCTTGCCCCCGCGAACGGGCTCGTGAGTATCTGCCCTCAGTGCTGGGGCTGCCATAGAGACACAGAACCAGCCTGGGTTGCGTTGAAGGGACCTTAGAGCTCCTCCAGCTCCAACTCCAACACCTTCCACTAGAGCAGCTTGCTCCAAGCCCCTGTGTCCAACCTGGCCTTGAACACTGCCAGGGATGGGGCAGCCACAGCTTCTCTGGGCACCCTGTGCCAGCGCCTCAGCACCCTCACAGGGAAGAGCTTCTGCCTCAGAGCTCAGCTCAGTCTCCCCTCTGGCAGGTTAAAGCCATTCCCCTTGGCCTGTCCCTACATCCCTTGTCCCAAGCCCCTCTCCAGCTTTCCTGCAGCCCCTTCAGGCACTGGAGCTGCTCTCAGGTCTCCCCTTCAGGAGCCTTCTCTTGTCCAGGCTGCCCCAGCCCAGCTCTCTCAGCCTGGCTCCAGAGCAGAGCTGCTCCAGCCCTCGCAGCAGCTCCAAGGTCTCCTCTGCACTCACTCCATCAGCTCCACGTCCCTCTTGTGCTGCTGCCCCAGAGCTGGATCAGGGCTGCAGGGGGGTCTCCCCAGGGGCAGGATCCCCTCCTTGTCCCGCTGCTCACGCTCTGGGGGTGCAGCCCCATGGATCCGTGTGCTTGGAGCTGAGGCTTCCCGTTCCCAAAGGAGGCTCCACTGCAGGAGCAGGTTCCAGTGCTCCCTCGCAAGGCTGAAGGAGCGATCCCAGCCTCAGGTGGAGGATGCTCCGCTGGGAGCAGCGCCGTCTCCAGACGCTGCCTCAAAGCCCACCCGGATGCTCCGGTGTCTCCGTGGGCCCCATTGCCCCCTCCTCAGCTCTTTCCTTTGCCGTTCCCTGCAGGAGCGAGAGCACCGAGAGCCCGGACGCGGCCCCCCCGGGGGTGCAGGCAGGGGAGCAGCCGGCGGTGATCCCTGCACAGGGCGACCTCCTGGGGGACCTGCTCAACCTGGACCTGGGGCCGCCGGTCAGCGGCCCCCCCATCGCCACCTCCGCCGTGCAGATGGGGGCTGTGGACCTGCTCGGGGGGGGCTTGGACAGCCTGGTACGTCACAGCCCCCCCCACCCTGGTGCTGTGGGATGGGGTGGGCTGCTCTGCCCGGGGCTCATCCTTCCCTCTGCACCGGTGCTGCACCCCATTGTCCTCATCCGATGGCTGCGGTGGGAGCGGTGCTCCCGGTCCAGGAGGTCTGTGTGGGTGCCCGCACTGTGCTGTGCTGTGGAGGGGGGGATTGCCCCCAGCCCCACTGCGTGGAAAGAGAGCCCGGGGGTTCCTCTGCTGCCCCTCAGCTCCAGCAGAGCCCCCAAGGGGAGGTCCCTTTGCTTCCTGCCCCTCGTGGTCCATGACCCTGTGTTGTGGGTGTGCAGGGCTTGGGGATGGGGTGAGGCACCCAGGGTGAGCTCTGTGCTGGCTCCAGGGCAGGGGTGGGCGGACGTGGTGCTGCGGCAGGACTGACCTCTCCTCCCTCCTGCCCTTCTCTCTGTCTCTCTCTGGTTTTGTCTCCTCTCTCCTGGCTTCTCTCTGCATGTGCCTGGCTCCTCTCTGCGCCTTCCCTGCTTCCGCTTGGAGATGGGGGACGAGTCGGAAGGGGTATGGATCAGCCCTTGTCGTGGCCCCACGTGTAGCCCCCACCCCGCTCCCCCCGTGCAGCCTGAGCCCTGCTCTTCACCGTCCCAATGTCACCCCACTTCCTCTGGGGGCAGCCAGGCCACTGTCTGGGACCAGTGGAGCATCCCTATGGGCTCCAGGCCATCACTGCCCCGTACTGATGCCTTTAGGGGGTGCCCCTAAGGAAGGTCCCCAATGGGATCAGTCCCCTTTGTCCCCTGTGCCCACGGAGCACTGGCTCCTGCTCATGCCCCTATGTTCTCTTGCAGCTGCGGAGCGATGTGGGAGGCAGCCCTGCTGTGAGTGTGTCCTGTCCTCACCCTCTGCATCTTCCTCCTCCTCCTCCTCCTGCCCTGCCCCACGCTGCCCCCCATAACCCATCCCTTTGTCCCCACACAGATCGGTGGCGGTGGCTTCACCCCAGTGCCCAGCACCACGATGCCCACAAACCTGGGGGCCCCCCTCGGCAGCGGCCTCGGGGACCTCTTTGACCTCACCGGAGGGGTGGGCGCCCTGCCAGGCTCCTACGTGGCACCCAAAGCGGTGAGTGGGGCGCGTGGACCCCGGCGTTCATGGGGCAGGGAGGGGAGGCCCTAAAGCAGGGGTGGGAGCAGGGACTGCCAGGTCATGGCTTGGCCAGAGCTGGGTTTGGGCTGCATTGCTCTGGGTGTGCAGGGTGAGAGCTGCTGTGTCTGCAGCTCGGAGACTCCACAGCCTGGTTTGGGTTGGAAGGGGCCTTAAAGCTCCTCCAGCTCCAACCCCTTCCACTAGAGCAGCTTGCTCCAAGCCCCTGTGTCCAACCTGGCCTTGAACACTGCCAGGGATGGGGCAGCCACAGCTTCTCTGGGCACCCTGTGCCAGCGCCTCAGCACCCTCACAGGGAAGAGCTTCTGCCTCAGAGCTCAGCTCAGGCAGGTTCAAGCCATTCCCCTTGGCCTGGCCCTGCAGCCCCTCAGGGTCTCTGCTCTGCTCCCCCCAGGTGTGGCTCCCTGCCATGAAGGCCAAGGGGCTGGAGATCTCGGGCACCTTCACTCGCCAGGTGGGCTCCATCTCCATGGAGCTGGTGCTGACCAACAAGGCCCTGCAGGTCATGTCCGACTTCGCCATCCAGTTCAACCGCAATAGGTGAGGAGCCCCCGGAGCCAGGGCCCCCAGCTCCGTGGTTGCGCATGGATTAGGCTGGGATGGAGGGGTGGCGAGGGCTGGACCAGCCTCACGTGATGAACCCCGCTCTCTGACGGCTCTGGTGGTGATGAGCATCAAACCAAAGCCTCTAAGAAGTTGACTGAAGAGGCTGTTCTCCAAGCGCTGCCCCATTGCTTGTCCTCAAAGGGGCCCCCCAAGGGACGGTCCTGAGGGATGCTCCCAATGGGTGCGAGTCTGCCTGGGAGGAAGGGGTGAGGTTTTGGGGCTGCCTGGGCCTGCCCTGGCGTGGGCAGGAGCCAGCCTGGTCCTGGGCATCCCCGCAGGAGGACAGGGTTCGGGTGCCCTGTGCCATCACCTGCTCCCCCCCACACCGACCCCCTGCCCTCCTCCTGTGTCCCCCACCTCCAGCTTCGGCCTGGCCCCAGCGGCTCCTCTCCAGGTCCACGCTCCCCTCACCCCCAACCAGTCGGTGGAGATCTCCCTGCCCCTGAACACGGTCGGCTCCGTCATGAAGATGGATCCGTTGAACAACCTCCAGGTAGGGGATGGAGCTGGGAATGGGGGCTGAGGAGCAGGAACCGCAGTGCTCAGCTCAGCACGAGGCGGGTCTGACACCACCTCAGGGCGGGAGAGCCTGCGCTTGGCTTGGGTGCAGCCTGGCTCCAGAGGGATGGGATGGGATATGGTGGGATGGGATATGGTGGGATGGGATATGATGGGATGGGATATGATGGGATGGGATATGGTGGGATGGGATAGTGGGATGGGATATGATGGGATGGGATGATGGGGTGGGATGGGATGGGATATGGTGGGATGGGATATGATGGGATGGGATATGATGGAATGGGATGGGATATGATGGGATGGGATATGATGGGGTATGATGGGACGGGATGATGGGATGGTATATGATGGGATGGGATGATGGAATGGGGTGGGATGGGCTTCTGGGATGGGATATGATGGGATGGGATGATGGAATGGGATATGATGGGATGGGATGATGGGATGGGATATGATGGGATGGAATGTGATGGGATGGGGTGGGATGGGATATGATGGGATGGGGTGGGATGGGCTTATAGGATGGGATATGATGGGATGGGATATGATGGGATGATGGAATGGGATATGATGGGATGGGATGGGATATGATGGAATGGGATATGATGGGATGATGGGATGGGATATGATGGGACGGGATGGGATATGATGGGATGGGATATGATGGGATGATGGGATGGGATATGATGGGACGGGATGATGGGATGGGGTGGGATGATGGGGTGGGGTGGGATGGGATGCTCTCCAGGCTGGAGGAGGTGTTGATGTCCCCATGTCCTTCCATCCCAGGTCGCAGTGAAAAACAACATCGATGTGTTCTACTTCAGCACCCTGTACCCGCTGCACATCCTCTTCGTGGAGGACGGGAAGATGGGTGAGTTGAGCTGGGTCTGGAGGTGCCGGCCCAGCCCCTGACCACATTCCCAGCCCTGGGAATGCTGCTGGAAGCCTGGAGCAATGCAGGGGTGCTGCCAGCCTGCATTGGCCACGCTGTGGTACCCGAGGTGCTTTGAGGCACCCTCTGACTCCTCACTGCCAGGGGCAGCTCTGGCTTTGCTTGGCTCATCCAGATGAGGACTGGGCACTGGTGGTGCCCCTCAGGGCTCGGTACTGGGGCCAGGGTTGAATGTCCTCACTGGTGACCCCGATGAGGGAACTGGGGTGTCCCTAGTGAAGCTGCAGATGGCACCAGGTTCATGTGCTGGAGGGCAGGAGGCTCTGTAGAGGGACCTGGACAGGATCCATGGGATGAGGTTCAAAAGGCTCAGTGCTGGTCCTGCACTCGGGCCACAACAACCCCATGCAATGCTCCAGGCTTGAGGAAGTGCGGCTGGAAACTGCTCATGGAAAAGGAGCTGGGGGTGCTGATTGATGGAGCTGAACGTGAGCAGCTTGGGCCCAGGCAGCCAGGAAGCCACCAGCATCCTGGCCTGGATCAGCACCAGTGCGGCAGCAGGGCCAGGGCAGGGATTGTGCCCCTGCACTGGGCACTGGTGAGGCTGCACCTCAAATCCTGTGTTCAGTTTTGGGCCCCTCACTGTAAGAGAGACCTTGAGGTGCTGGAGCAGGGCCAGAGAAGGGCACTGGAGCTGGTGCAGGGCCTGGAGCCCAAGTGTGATGGGGAAGGGCTGAGGGACCTGGGGGGTTCAGTGTGGAGAAGAGAAGGCTCAGGGGGGACCTGATGGCTCCCTACAAGTGCCTGAGAGGAGGATGGAGCCAGGAGGGGCTGGGCTCTGCTCCCAAGGAACAAGGGATGGGACAAGAGGAAACGGCCTCAAGCTGCCCCAGGGCAGGTTTAGATGGAGCTGAGGAACAATTCCTGCCCCAGAGGGTGCTCAGGCATTGGAACAGGCTGCCCAGGGCAGGGCTGCAGTCACCGTCCCTGCAAGTGTTCACACCCCGTGGAGACGAGGCCTCAGTGCCATGGGGCAGTGGTGGCCTTGGCAGTGCTGGGAACGGTTGGACTGGATGAGCTTAAAGGGCTTTTCCAGCCTGGTTGGTTCCAGGATTCCATGATCCCTGTCCCTCAGCAAACCCTCCCCAGCCAGCCCAGTTTGCTGCCTTGGGAAGCTGCTGAAGGGGATTGCAGGGTGGGATCCCTGCAGCCAGCAGGGAGGTGGCAGCATCCCTGCTCCGTGTCCCTGCTCCGTGTCCCGGGGATGCTGTGGGCTCAGCAGCGCTGTCCCATCCCTCCCTGCAGAGCGGCAGATGTTCCTGGCCACGTGGAAGGACATCCCCAACGAGAACGAGGCCCAGTTCCAGATCAAGGACTGCTCCCTCAATGCAGGTGGGTCCAAACCCTCCCCAAGGCCCTGGCCGCTGGGGAGCAGCTCATCCTGGTGATCCCAGCCCAGGCTCCAGGGAGGCCGGAGCCCCAGCCCCGTGTGCTCCAGGAGGGAGCTGCTTTGCTCACCCTGGACTCATGGTGGAGACCTGGGAGATGCTCTGGGGTCCCTGCATGGGGACGGCTGCTGTGGGTCGGTCTCTATGGGAGAAGCCTGTCCCGGCCCCCTTGGCACCTCCTTGCTCTCCCAGCCCCTTCTCCAGGTGCCAGGCAGGATGAGCACACCCTGGTCGGGGGCATCCAAGTCCTTTCCATCCCTCTGGCAGCAGGGAGCTGAGCTTTGTGGGGTGGTTCCATGGGTGACCCGAGCTCTGGGCTGTCACCGTGGGGAGGAGCTGGGTGCTGCTCCTGGCTGTGTGGGGATGGAGGCTGCTGGATGTGCTGCATCCCACGCAGAGGGAGCTATGAGCAGAGCTGGGGTGAGCCCCATGCCCTGCCCCACAGCAGCTCTCTCCCCATGCAGATGCCATTAGCAGCAAGCTCCAAGGCAGCAACATCTTCACCATCGCCAAGAGGAACGTGGAGGGGCAGGACATGCTCTACCAGTCCCTGAAGCTCACCAATGGCATCTGGGTGCTGGCGGAGCTCCGGATCCAGCCCAGCAACCCCAGCTTCACGGTACCTCCCCTGCCCTTCCCCTTCTGCCTCCACGTCAGCCCCGGGCCGAGGCTGCTCCAATGGCTCATCCATGGTGGTGGGACCCCCCCTCCCCGGCCCCCCAGCTTCAGCTCCATCCCCTGTGCTGCTCCCAGTGGCCTGTGGGGAGGGTGGGATGGGGCCTGTGGGGCTGGCTGGGTGCTCAGCACCGCTCCTGGCTCTGTGGTGGCACCGAAAGGAGACCCCACACCTCCGTTGACGTCAACCACAACCCCGTCCCCTCCTTGGGCACCCCCAGCTCAGCCCAGGTGCTGACAGCCTCAGAGCAAAGGCCTGGCTGTGATTTGGACCCAACCCATCCCCGTGTCCTGCTGCTGGGGCCCATCCCTGTCCCTCGGGGCCGGTTTTCCTGGGGTTGGGATGAGCTGGGTCCCCTCCACTCACGTCTCTGCATCTCTGTCCCCGCTGCCCGTGCGCTCCGGCAGGATCTGGAGGTCAGGACGCTGGTTTGTACCTGCTTGGGGCTGTCCCTGCCTTGCTCCCGCTTCCCTGCCCCTGCGTTCCCCAGCCCTGCCCATCCCTTTGGCCTCAGGAGGTGACTCGGAGGGGCAGGATGCTCCCGTGCATCCCCAGGGAGGAGGAGAGCTGCACGTCCTTATCCCTGGCTCCGAACCCCTTTGCCTGCGGGCTGAGGAGGAGCGAGTTGGTTTCAGTCATTTAATCCTGAAGCAAATCACTGCTGAGGAGGAGGCGCCTTTGGGGGCACCGCTCCCCCTCCTGCAGCTGCAGGCAGGGATTGAAGCCTCTCTGTGTTCCTCTGCCCGGCCCCTGCATGCGCTGCGCCTGCCCCAGCAGCCGGGGACGGGGTTTGGATGCTCAGTGCCTTTTTGGTACCATCTCTGACCCCGCTGCGATGCAGAGCTGGGGCCGTGCTGTGCCCACGGGGGATGCTGCAGGCTGTGGGGCTTGGGAATGGGGCTGGGGCTGCGGGCTGTGGGGCCGTGACCCCCATCCCTCCCTCTCTTCCCGCAGTTATCCCTGAAATGCCGCGCGCCGGAGGTGTCCCAGTACATCTACCAAGCCTATGAGACCATCCTGAAGAACTGAGGGGCTGCTGCAGCCCCTCGCCCTCCTCTCCTCCCGCTCCCACCCCAGGAAGCGGGGCAGGACCCATGTGCATGTCTCATCTCTCCTCTCCTCTCCTTCCTGCCAAGGAGCCAGCCCTTGGGACCCTCCTTCCATCCCCAGTGGGGCTGGGGTGAGCGGAGGAGGGCAGGGGCATCCCTGTGGAGGTCCCTGTGTGAGTGATGCTGCATCCTCCTTGCTGAGCCCTCTGGGGGCTGCCGCTCTGCTTCACCCTGCGCCCATCCACCGCCCATGGTGGGCTCTGGGGGAGGGTTCAGCACCCATGGGCTCGCTCTGCAGCCATGGGAGAGGGTCTCCTCCTCATGGGAGCTGCTCCAGGGATCCCAGAAGGGCTCCAGGCTCTCAAACCTGAGGCTGTGCTTCCACGTGTAGCACAAAAAGGGCTTTTTCCAGCCCCATCCAGCCCCTCTGTGGGCCTGGGAGGGCTCCAAGCATCAATCACACCCCTCCCTCTGCCCCCCCGAGCAGCCCCACGGCTCCCCACTGTCACCCATGGGTGCTGGC